ATTTAAAAAATTAAACAAAAATAAAACTAAAAAAAGGGGCGCGGTGGTGGCGGTGGATACAGTGAGAGGAAATAATGGAGTAGGTAAGAAAAATATTTTATATTTTATTTTATCATGTAGAGTGTGATGTGACATTTTTTATAATAAAATAGAGTGTATTACATATCATGTATTAGGTATGAAACTCACATTTTCAATAGTTTAAATATGAAACGCAAAAAAAAGAAAATAAAAACTTAATTGTATTTTTGACACTTATCTCAAAAAAGAAATAAAAACTCACAAATTTTATAGCAAACAAAAACTGACTTTGCATTGTTCAGTCTCCTACAATTCTCAAAAAGAAAACTAAAAAAAGCTAAAAATCACTTGTATTATTATTATTTTTTAAAAAAAAAAAATCTTAAAAGAAAAAAATATACGTAAAAATCCATAAATTTATTCAATATTAAAATATACTACACACTTGAATTTTATGGAGGTCCTATTATTTCCTAAATTGTTTCAAATCGATATGATCATCTCCCTAAATGCTTATGTGGCGAAGTGAGTGTATTTCACTTTCCTTGAGAGAGTGAGCACCGAAAAAAATATTAAATTTTTTTTTAATATACATTAATTTTTTGATACGTGTGTTGCACGTGATTACCAATTTCAAAAATATATGTCATGATAAATATTGTTGCATATTTAAGCGACAATTTGAATAATAAGCTTAGCAAAAAATAATGTTTCAGATTCTTTTATGAATCTTTGACGTGGATCGTATGTATTTATTTCAATTTGATAAGGTTAATCATGTAATTATGTTATTTCACTAATATTACCTTGTAGACAATATTTGATTTGTATTTTTCATGTCATCTAACCAGCTTTGCACGTTAAATTGTTTAGATGTCACATGAACATGTGAAGAGAACCACTACATTTTATGTATTCACATATTTTCACATTGATTTGAAAATCTTATTAACTTGATAATATATTTATGACAAATATAATTGAGAAACTGGTTTAAAACCTTCCTAATCTATACCCAAAATTTTAACTACACATTTATTCATTACGAGAGTCTCATTACCCCCTTGTACTATTTTAAAGTAAAATTATTTGCTTCCTTAATGATGACATGGCAAGAAAAGTATAATTCACTCTCCCAAAGAGAATGAGAGGTAAAAATTATAATTAAAACTTTAGATTTTAAAAATATTTCTTAAATTTTATATTATAATTTTATAATTCTTCAAAAAGTTTTATGTTTTTTTTTAAAAAAAAAATTATTTTTATGGTCTTTCTTCTTCTTTTCACCAAAGCTACATCGGCAGCTGCTCTGCGCTACCACTAGGTCGCGCCCTCACCATGCTTTAATCATTAAGTTAATTTTCATTCTCAAATTACAATTTCTCACAGTAAATTAACTTCTCATCAATGCGACAATTTGTCAATAACTAGCAAAATCAAAAGTCATCGGCGACGATCTGCTCCATCACCAAGCCACTGCCCTCACCGAGCTATAATAATTGAGTTAATTTTCATCCTCAAATCATAAATTTCTCACAGTTAGTGTGAAGAATTGACAAGAACTCAAACCTGAAATTGAAAATCAAGAGGATTGAACTTTAGAGTTATTAATGGAGAAAAATTCATCAAGTTACATATTCATCAATGGAGAAGAACTCATCAATGAAATCATTAGGTAACAAATTTATTTATGAAAAAGACCCAATAATTGAAATGGATTGCTCAACATTGTTTAATTCTAGCTTCAATATAGAGCATCAAAATTTTGCTAGTGTTCATAACTCCAATGAAGCTCAAAGAAAATAGTGGCAGTCATATAATGTATCCCCAAATCTGAAAAATCTGTTGTCAGAATTAAAAAAGAGTAGTGAAAAAGGAAAGTGAATCAAAGAAGAAGAGGAATGGAAAAAGGAAATTGAAAGAGAAAAATGAAAATACATATGAAAAAATAATTGCAGAATAAAGTTTTTTTCAAAAAAAGGTTAGATTACGAGGCAGAGCGCGTGTAATTCACTATTTTATATAAATCTGTTTATGTGTTTTTAAGAGGTTATATATTATACTTTTAAAATGTTCAGGGGGTAATAAGACTCCCGTAATAATTGTATAGTTAAAATTTCGGGTATAGATTAGAAGGGTTTTAGACCATTTTCTCTAATACTTTAATTCTATCCAAATATAAACATATATATATTTCTATTAATGAAAATGTTTATCTCATATAATTAACTGTTAAATAAATAATAAAAATTGAAATAACACAAACTTCAATTAGCGTTATTAAAAGTCATATGAATATTTTTCGTCTAAAATACTGAAATATTAAAAAATAGTAAATAAGTAAAATAGAAGGGCAATGTTTTTATAGTAATTACTACTATTTTGAAACAAACTTCATGAGAGTCTAAATCACACAAGTAACATTGATGAATTAAGTCATTTTTTTTCTTGAGTATCAAAAATTAATCGTGACAATTCTCTAAAATTTGAAAAAGATATTCATAAGTATATAATTGGTAACAAAAACAAAAATGAACTTAGACTATATCATGTTAACTTTATATATTAAAACATTGCATACTAATGTACATTTAAGCAGGAAAATAATTATTATATCATCAAAATTATTTTCTCAAGTACTTGACGTTATGGAATATACCATCTTAGGATAGAACGACTTACTTCGGCAGAATAGTGATACCTCATATTCAGCTAAAATTCAAACTCGCTTAACGATAATAAATCACACAAAAATAAAAAATGCAAAAAAAAAAAAGTAGAATATTAAATAAATTGTGACTAAAAAATGAGACGAAAACTCTTTATTTATAGTCAACAAACGGTAGTATTAATGAAAATTTTATGGTGTATGAGGTATGCCATGTAATAGTTGTATGAGAATTTTTTTTATAGAAAAAAGTACATTTGTGACCCCTATGTCTTTTCAACCTCCCGTTTTCTCTTCTCACTCCTCCACCCCACCTTTTATTCATCGTACTTTGAACATTTGATATTATTTTTCTTCCATGGATTGATTATTTATATTTCTAAAAATAATTATTAAAAATTATCTGTCAATTGACAAATTAAATTATATTTTTTTTTATTTTCATTACATAAACTCTTCTGTCAATTTATAAGATATTCTTTTATATTCTTGAAATTAAGAAATATAAAATTTTATTGATACTTTAAAGTATATTTTATTTTTTATATTAACATAAGAACTACAACTTATAATGTTTGTTCATAAATAACCTTCCACATAAGTTGCAATTCAACAAAAAATACTATAACCTGCAATTCTTGTCATGTTAGCACATGAAAAAAAATACATTTTATAGCTTGAATTTTGAGAAAAAAATAGTTGAATGAAATGATGGAGAGAGTAAATGAAAAAATAAACTGATTATATAATCTAAATAATTATTTATGTTTATCTTAAAACTAAAACAATTAATTTTTTCTAAGGTCACGTATCTCAATTTAACTTTTTTAAGTACGTAACTATTTGACTTCAAATTTAAATTAGTATCAATATATTTATCTTGATTTGATTTTTGACAAATGAGTATTATGAGCTATAAAAAGGCAATGAAATAAATATTAATTTTAAGAGATAATGAAATGCTAATTTTAATATAGTACTATTTTTTTCTTTGATCTTGTTATTTTATTATTTTAAATTTATGTAGTGAAATATATTAAAATTAAAAAATAATAATGTCAAATACTTCATATTAAAGAGAGGGATAAATAAAAGGTGGGATGGAGGAGTGAAAAGAGAAAATGAGAGGTTGAAAAGACATGGGAACCACAAATGTACTTTTTTCTATTAAAAAAATTTCTCATAAAACTATTATATAGCATACTTAATACACCATAAAATTTTTCGTACATTTCTTTATTAATTTAATTTTTTTTAATTACTGCAGTACTGTACTATAGTAATTGAAAAATATGTTGATTCAAAATGAGCCCTAGTATGTTGTGATACACTAGTATAGTACTCTTGACTTCAAAAAGAGATACACATGTGATCCCTAAGATATAATGTGGTTTATTAATAATCGATTATTGTCATATAATATATATTTCTAATAACATTAATAAATTTATATAGTTTGGCGTAATATAGTGTAGTGGATGAGATTATTCATCTTTTTATTAGAAATTTTGAATAGTCAAACGCCCCCAATCTATATCGAATTTTCAATTACACACTTTAGAGCCTGTTTGGCTCAGCTTAAAAGCTGGTTTTTGACTTCACGGGGATAAAATTAGTAAAACGCATGTGGGATAATGATAATAGGTAAACTAAATAAAAGGTGGGATTTTCGTGATTAATCATACTTTAAAAGCATAAACTTCTAGCTTGATATTAAATTACTATAATATCCCTAACTTATATTATGATTTTTTTGATGAGTTGTGATTTTTTCAATAAGTTGTGACTTTTCGATGAGTTGTGACTTTTCCAAAGAATTGTAAATTCTCAAAAAGGTCATGACTTTTCATATAAGACGCAAAAAATATTTATTAATACTGTTTTTTTTATAATAGACGAGGGATAGATATGATCCCGTGAAGTTTAAGTGTGTAGTTGAAAATTCGATATAGATTAGGGGGGCATTTGACCATTCAAAATTTCTAATTAAGAGACGAATCATCTCATCCACTACACCATATTATATTAATTTATTAGTATTATTAGAAATATATATTATATGAAAACAATCAACTATTAATAAACCACAACATATTTTAGGGATCACATATGTATCTCTTTTGAAGTTAGACTATACTAGTGTATCACAACATACTTTAGGGCTCATTTTGAATTAAACATATTTTTCAATTACTATAGTACAGTACTGTAGTAATTAAAAAAAATAAAGAAATGTACTAAGTAATAAAATAAAAATAAAATAATAATAATAATAATAAATAAAAAAAAATCAAAGGTACAGGAGCTCCATAGAACATGTAGTATTTTCCAGATTAGGTTCTCTGACTCATCTTTTTCTGTCTCATACACACTCTCCCTCGTGTACTGTCCTCTTTCTGCATTGCGGCTAGGGTTTCACCTAAAAAATCCCTATTTTTGTTGTTGTTTGTGTACTGATTTTACAACTGATTTGATGGATATTCGAATGAACTAGCGGTTGACGCGGTGGGTTTCACACATACGAAGGTAAAAAGGGTTTTTGTAGCTCTTGAAAATGGCGGATTTGAACCCCTTTGATTTGCTTGGTGATGATGATAACGATGATCCATCGAAGCTGATTGCTATTCACCAGCAAAAAGTTGATCCGGCGAAGAAAGCCTCAGCTCCGGCGCCGGCGGCGGCTAAGAAACAGCCGGCGAAGCTCCCCACTAAGCCTCCTCCCCCTACTCAAGCTGGTGAGTTTCAGTCAGCTTTTTATGTCTTGTTTATGGATACGACTCAATCATTTTTCTAGGTATCTGTATGTTGGTTGAATATTTGTAAATTTAAGGGAGTGAAGATGAGCAGCGAGAAACAGATGGGACTGAGAAAGGATTTGACCGTGTAGGAATAAGGGTCATATTTTGGAGTGCCTCTAGTTCTGAAGAACTGTTAATTTGTCTTATAAGAGAGAGATTATTTGTTGGAATTAACCGAAATGAAACCGGACTAAAGTAGAAAGAGTACAGCGAATTCATATAGATGATTCCAATATAGTTGGGCTTGATACATAGCTGTTGTTATCTGTAAAGTGATAGGCAAACCGTCTTTCAATTGCGACGTGTTAGCTAACTATGGAGTACTTGTTATTAGAGGCAGAGTCAGGATATCAACTTTATGGATTCTGTATTTTAGAATGACAACTTCAATTGTTAATAATTGAGTTCTAAATTTATTATTTGTAGACATTTAATGAACTTTTAACACAAAAACACTATTTTGAGTAAAAACTATTTGTGTATTGGCATGTGAGTTTTTATAGATAAGGTTAAAAATTGCAGTTAGTTTTAAAGGGAATTTGGAAATGACCCATCAAACAATAGTGCTAGTTGCTCGGGATTGATTTTTTACTAATCTTATATGGTGAAAAGCTAGGTCGTTTATGGTAGTAAAAAGATGGAAGTAATGTTTCTTGGAGAGAAATCAGAGGTGTTTTGAAGACGAACAAAATGGACTTCAGAGCTTCAAGATGAATTGTCTAGCGTTACTTAATTTTTGGTGTAAAGAGGACATTTTAGTCCAAGCAGAAGATATCTGGGATGTTTTAGATTACTTCTAAGAAATAGAGGTGATAGACGGCAATATGACTAGACTGTAATACCTTTTGAAGGGGATTACATATTTTGGATGTAGTTTACCTGTGAATATATAGATTAGTGTTACTATCCTCAAAAAAAAAGAAAGTAATGTTGCTTGAGTCATCTATATTACACATTGTCTTATACTTCTTTTTTTCCCTTGGAGGTGAGTGGTGATAATCTAAATGATCTATGCGCTCTATATTGGAATGATGTATGATGCAAATAACATTATTCAACTGTTATTCGACAACAATCACATGGATAGTCACTTGTTGAATTTAAACTACATAAAAATTATTTTTATAAAGTTGTGTGGTGGGAGTCAATGTATGTGCTTCCGCCATGGTTTTAACATACCTTGGATGATAACACAATCAGTAAAACATTATCATCTCATGTTTTGTTTTTTCTTATCTATATCAGCTAAACGTAGAGAAAGGTGTTAATATATGGATCAATTTAAGTGAGGTAAGCAGATATTCCGTATAGCACAGATAGCTTGTCTGAATTTCTGATGTTCCACTTCAAAACATAATTATTGTGAGACCAACTTGGTGTATTATCAATGCTTTGATTTATCAAAAAGAAAGTAATCATGATCTGTGTAGACCTTCAAATTTAACAGTCCCTAGGTGGAACATAATAATCATTAGGAATCGTCTAGATGAATACATTATCTTAGAGTTGATGTGGCTTCGCTAAGGCCTAAGGGAATAACAAAATTGAAGTAAAGTACATGCACCTTAAAAATTAGCCTAATTAAAATTGAAGCAAAATACACATATAGATGATACCAACTATTTAAGATTCATGCTTAGTTGTTATTATTACACCTATATTAGGTCAGCATAAGGATAAGTATGAATTTATAGAACTTCTAGTTCTATAGTATCCCTAATTTTTCTTAAGTTGCCTAGCTGTATCAACATGTAATTGAGTTATAGAGTGAAATATATAGAGGACTCGTATAAGCCACTCCAATTAATTTGGGATTAAGGTATTGACCCAACAAACAGGAACTAGTTTGAGATTGCGACGTAGTTTATTGATATACAAATGGAACTAAAATGACTTACAAGTTTCCAAGTTTTGAGAGTGAAGCAATTTTTTTGGATTTGACTATTATTTGTTAAAGGATGAATTTTTCTTTTATCCCATTTCTGGTGTCTCTTCAAAAGAATGAGAAAGAATCCCATTCCTGCTGTTATTCAAGCCTTATGGTTTTGACATTTCACGTGTTAATGTATATACTTTTTATATTGCACACAAGATGTCTGATTGTAACCAATTCTGTGTTATTCTATTTTTATTTCTCTTGCTTGTTGCTTGTCGCGTTCAAGAGTGCTAGTAAATTGTCTCTAATTAAGTGGTCCCACTTGAATAATGATCTGGATGAATTATTTTTTGTTTTCTGTTGCTCAATCTGCATATAGGCTTCTGTTTATAGTCATTGCACTTCGGGTCCTTTTCCTCCTTTTCTTTTGCAAGTATTCAAAATTTGCACTTATGGCGTCTCTGTTTCAACTGTGTAGTCAGGGAGGCAAAAACAGAATCTGGACGTGGTGGAGGTAGAGGTGGTGGACGTGGCTACAGCTGTGGTCGTGGTGGAGGTGGGTTCAATAGGGAAGGATCCAACAATGAGAACTTTGCTCGCAACAGAGAATTTTCAGGTGGTATTGCTGCGCCTGAATACGTGGAAGGAGGAAGACCCTCTGAAAGACGCGGTGGTTATGGTGGACCCCGTGCTTTCCGTGGTGGTAGACAAGGTGGTTTTGGTAATGGAGAAATGCCTGAGGGGGACCGGCCTCGTAGGACATTTGAACGCCGTAGTGGTACTGGACGCGGGTAGATACATCTTTCTTGTCTGTGTTACCTCCGCCTTTCTATTACCATATTTGTAAAGCTGTCGTACTTATCTTTCACTGTATGAGCAGAAGTGAGATAAAGCGTGAAGGTGCTGGCCGAGGAAACTGGGGAACTGAAGCAGATGAAGTTACTCTGTGAGTCTTACTTTATTACATGGCCTAAACTAACTAGATTGAAAATCTATTGAATTTGGTGTTGAATTTGGTTGTATTGTCTATCACAGGATGACTGGTGAAGTTGCTGATGAAGGTGAGAAAAATCTGAATGTGGAGAAACCCTCCACCGAAGAAGAAGCAGGAGTTGATAAGAAGGAAAATCCAGCTGCTGAAGCTGCGGACAAGGAGCCTGAAGATAAGGTGAAGTCCTCTTAAATCATACAAAACACAATATTGATTGGACTTTGTCGATCCTTGTGTTGCCACCTGTGTATGAGACATGTCCTGCTCTGCTCTAGAAACAGATGCTCCAGAGAGCATCGACAATCATAATTTAACACCTCCCTTTTTGAAGGCCCATGGAACTAGCAAGTCTATAATTTACTTTTTGCTTTTATAACCTGGTAATTCCTCATCAATTAGAAGTAAATATCTGATGCACATTGGAACTTCTGGACATTGTTCTTTGGGTTGCTTTAGAAGGGGCTGAATTTTAGTTCCATGTTTGGGGATTTGGTTAACAGAAGAATATTTCATAATCGGAACTTGTTTGCTTAGTACATTTGGTGAGGTCATGTTTAAAGCCATTAAATTACATGTTCTAAATATTGTGAATAATTTTCTTGAAAGCGCTCTTGAGCTATGGAGTTACGACTTAAGCGTGTGACACAAGCAGAGCTTGCTTTTCTTGGCAGCAGCTTCTTTGCAAGCACCAAGTATTCAAGGCATGAGCGTCAGACTATGGGCTCTGTCAAAGAGGCGTGCACTACACAATAAATGTAGCTTGCACACAATAGACTAATTGTTAAAGAAACATTATGGATGAATGTTGTTGTTGTTAGGAATAGGATAACAACTTACTAAAAGAAACTTTAACTAATACATTTGATTAAGACATTTGCACAACTGCAGTTATTTAGAAATTGCAGTTAGTGCTTAAATCTTTAATAGACTTGAGTGCCTTTTTACATATTTCACTTTTGACAACACTGACATAAAGGTAGAAGCAGAAGTTTATCAGTAGTAGAAACTTTCCTAGTGTAGTGCTGGTCATGGTAGAACTAGTATTTAAGACATGGTGGAGTTGCAGGGTCTCAAACTAGGAAATGTTAATGTTAAAAAAAAAGACATAGTGGAGTTGCAGGTGATGGTTAATAGTTCTTACCAGATCACTGCAGAGAGTTAGTGCTTCACAGCAGATGATTTATCGTTAGAGAATGCAGGTAAATTGTACATTGCTTTATGTTTAATGTAAATCGTGTTCCTTGAATGAATAGGAGATGACCCTTGAAGAGTATGAGAAGTTGCTAGAAGAAAAACGGAAGGCTTTGCAGGCGCTTAAGACTGAGGAAAGGAAGGTCGACACCAAAGTATTTGAATCCATGCAACAGATTTCAAAGAAATCCAGTGATGAAATCTTTGTCAAATTGGTGAAATCTTGATACATTCTGTCCTCTGCTTATGTTTGATGCCAGATATCTTTAAAACACTTCTTAATATACTTCTATGCCTTGATTTGTAGGGCTCCAAGGATAAGAGAAAAGAGTCTGCTGAGAAGGAAGAAAAGGCAAAGAAGGTAATTCTTCGGCATTTGCATCCCTGATATTTATATAGCACATGCTTTTCTTATGTTGCTCTCAATAGTGCTTTACCAAATTTTATGTACAATGCATCCATCCTGTTATACTTGTTATTCTTGCTATACACCACAACAGTTCTTTACACTCTTTTCTGGATGCGTATCAATGAAAATGGTATCATGTTACCATGTTGTTGTAGAGGGTGTACATTTATGTTGTATTCTTCTACAGTCGGGCCTTTGTTTCCTCTGTTTCTTTCAGATTTTCTGGTAATCCTTTGACATGCCAACATATAGCTGTTATAGTGCCATGCAACCATTTTTACAAAAAGAAATCCATCACACTCTTATACATGTGCATGTGCAGGCCGAAGTTGATTGAGATGAAGTGTTAATCAATCAACATAAATGAGAGTGAAAATTGTAATCATCTTACACGTAATATCCTCTCTTTTCTTTTTTGTCTGGCTTTAGGCGGTCAGCATTAATGAGTTTTTGAAGCCTGCTGAGGGTGAGAGGTATTATGCACCTGGTGGTCGAGGTCGAGGGCGTGGCCGCGGTTCTAGAGGTTACAGTGAAGCCAACACGATGAGCAATGTGGAAGCTGCTCCTCCCATTGAAGACCCAGGTCACTTCCCTACATTGGGTGGCAAGTGATGTGCTTTTTTAGTGCTTTTCTACCACGTCCAAGAGGCAAATCTGACTATAATAATGGAGTGGAAGTTTCAATGTAAATTTCTTCCGTTTATGTGATACCCTCTGTAGTTTTATTTTATCTGATGTTTTACTCTTCTGATCCTACTGGGTTATATGAAGCACATTAACTTATTTTGCTGTTTTATTCTAGTAATATATTCTGTGCATCATTTAATGACAATTCTCATTGACTAAGATGGCAGGGTACTCGTCTTCTGAACTTCCGGATTAGGGATAGACACCTTACCTTTAGGAGGTAGTACTGAGAACATCCCAGAACTATTAGTTTCGTCTTCAACCTTTATACTCGAGTAATTAAATTTAGCTATACTAACGATTTACCACATATTATATTATAGTAAATAGTTTCTAACTCTTATAGGAACATGGGGTTTTTAATAAAAAGTTGAAAGAAGTGTTTAAAACATTCCTAAACTTGAAGAGAATTTAGGAATGTATTTCATTGCAAGATCTTAGTCAAGTAAATGATTTTTAGAATTAATATTTCGGCTTGAATCAAGGGTGTTTTTAATACTTAAAAATAAAATAAAATTTATCACCATGGCACATGTGGTGTCTTTATTTAAGTAATTGACTTGAAATGAAAAGAGATCACAGAGGGTTATGGATGATGGTAGGTGAGAGCTTTTGATGGTGGTAGGTGAGTGCAGTGTGAATAAATAGCAGAATCAATCTTGTAAAGATATTTGCGTTTGGATCTTGATAGAAATGGGTAGCCAAATGGCTGTCCCTGTGAATGAGACCTTCTTCATATCACATGGTTCCCCAATGCTATCCATAGATGATTCGTTACCTGCCAGACATTTCTTGAAATGCTTCAACCAGAAAGTCTTCACCCAGAAACCCAATTCAATTTTGGTGATATCTGGTCATTGGGAGACTTCAGAGCCTACTGTGAATTGCATCACTGGCCTGAATGACACTATTTACGACTTCTACGGCTTCCCAGAACAGATGTACCAGCTGAAATATCAAGCACCAGGAGCTCCAAAATTAGCGAAAAGGGTGAAGGAACTGCTCAAGTCATCTGGCTTCAATCGAGTGCACGAAGACAATAACCGGGGCCTGGATCATGGTGCATGGGTGCCTCTTATGCTCATGTATCCAGGGGCTGACATCCCAGTTTGCCAGCTTTCTGTCCAGACAAAGAAGGATGGAACTCATCATTTTAACATTGGGAAAGCATTGGCCCCTCTCAAGGAAGAGGGTGTCCTCATAGTTGGTTCTGGATCTGCAACTCACAACTTGAGGGCTTTGCGCGACACTGCTGGCGTCGCTTCTTGGGCTATGGATTTTGACAATTGGCTTAAGGAGTCCCTTGTTAATGGAAGGTATGAAGATGTCAACAACTATATGACAAAAGCACCTTGTGCCAAAATTGCACACCCATGGCCTGATCACCTGTATCCATTACATGTAGCAATGGGTGCAGCAGGTGAAAATGCCAAAGCTGAACTTATTCATCACAGCTGGAGCAATCATGCTCTTTCTTACGCCTCCTACAAGTTTGAGTCACAGCTAAAGTAGCCTTTGCTGACGGAAGCATTTAATGGCTTCAATGTATATTTCTTTTGAAAGGTCTTTGGGAAAGAGTCACTATGTTGTTGGAGGTACACTATACCTCCACATATCCCACTTTAGTAGAATTTCACTGTTGTATAGTATATTTCTGCCGTTTTAATTTATGCAAAGCTGAGAGGAGCAAATGTTGCCAAAAAAACAATTTATTTTTTCAAAAAAACAAGGGACCATGCTAATCAAGCAGGACTCTGAGCTTGGCACAATTCTTATCGTGATTGAATGCCTGATTGGGGACATCCCATATAACACAAAAAAAAAGGGGCAAGATGTTCATGTTCACCAGTATAGCTTTCTGTTGAACTATAAGAAATTTATTTTTAAGCAAAAGCAGGCCAAAGTGTCGAAGTGCAACAAATAATGCTAAGATCATTATGTTCACAATTGGTCCACTTCAATAAAAACATATATTTCTTCTCAAGAAATAAAGATATATCTAGCAGTAGGGATTTTGCAGGACAAGGCTACAAGGGTAAACATTGTTGTTGATTAGTGAGATTACAGTAGACATGTCATGGATGAGAGGTGAGCCAGCAAGCAAATTCGGACGTTCTCTCAAGACGAGCAGCAGCCACTATTCTGAGCAACGGGCTGTCCACGAATATTTACATTTGGAGGCTGGGCAGCATTTGGGACCGGTTGGTTTGCCATACTGCAATCAGGAAGCCAAAGAGAAGGAAATAATGGGAACTGAGAGAAGCAATAGATAAGCCAGCTCATCTCATAAATGTAAATGAAAAGATTATTTGGAGAACATTTTATAGCATCAAGTGAAGTTGATTAAAAACCATGCAATCTTACAAGGAATGGGGCCAAAACCATACTAGTTGCTATATCTTTCATTTGGACCTTTTGGTTTATGTAAATGCTTACAGTGGTTCCATATCATGCTTAAATCCACTTAAAACGTCCAATAAGATCCTAACTGCGAAGATAATTACATTTACTACATAAAATATCTTTCAATTTTCGGGACCAAACATAATGTCAGAGAAGGAAGTGATAAACGCGAAAAAGTAATCGCCTCACAGAAAACGGTAGTAGTTGGATTTTATCAAAGATCACAGCACAACTTGGAAAAGGTATAAAAGACACCATTGATTAGCATTATCTAAATACAAGGAATGCATTTACCTTTTCTTGATAGCAGCAGTCATAGCCATGAAAGACTCTTCTACGTTACTAGCATCTTTCGCACTGGTCTCCAAGAATGGAATACCAATTTCATCAGCAAAGGCCTAAAAATAAATTAGTATAAGTTTGTTTTCCATTTAAAGACGAAGGATCATTAAATATCTGCAAGGAGATGATTCACCTTAGCTGTTTCATACGACACAACTCTACTGGCAACAAGGTCAGACTTGTTCCCAACAAGAATTTTGTTAACATTTGGGGTAGCATAACGGTCAATTTCACTCAGCCATTGTTTCACATTATTGAAGCTCTCCTGATCCGTCACATCATAAACAACCTACCATAGAGGCCATAAAAAGAATGTAGAATGTAACAGGTACTGAAAGCGGTAATTTAACTCTACAGGCAACTAATTGTTCTTATATTGTGTTAAAAAAATTAAGGTCACTACTCACTATTATGCCATGGGCTCCACGATAGTAGCTGCTAGTGATAGTCCTAAAACGCTCTTGTCCAGCAGTATCCCACTAAACAGTGTCAAAATAGAAAACAGCCTTGATTTCATTAAAAGTGCAGCGCAATGTCTGTAAAAAGAAAGGCCTGAAGCAGAAGAGCAGGTGAAGTCTTACAATCTGAAGCTTAATGGTCTTTCCATCTTGCTCCACTGTCCTGATTTTCTACACAAAAATATTTGGATATTTGGTAGAATCAGTGATCACATAAAAGTAAAAATGTTCAGGCTGAAAAAGATCACAGAATTCCAACCATATGTAAAACTGAGTAGCACATAAACCATTAAAGTATCTTACAAAATCAACTCCAATTGTGCTTATGTAGCTCTCCTGATATGTGTCATCCTGATGGCAAAAGAGACAAAATAGTCAGCCAACAATTACAGAAGAAAAATGTAAACAACATTGAACTATATTCTGATACAGTTTTCAGCAGGGTAAGAATCTATGAGTTCATCATTAATCAATCAAATGTTCACAGGGTGAAGGTGGAACTTCATAGACTGATTATGCCTCTATAGGAAGGAGGAGCAAATATTATGCGCAAAGTAGTTTTCTATAAGATACTGATAGTTTCAACTTCATTATAAAGCAAGAAAACAATTCCATTAGAGTACTCAAGTAGACTCCAGTATAGTTCGAAAGTTCAGGACTATCCTCAGTCTTCACTTATAACAACATACTGTGACAAGGAGCTAGCAAATTAGAAACAATGTCCTGACATCACTAGAAGAATGCCCATCTTTCTTTAGTCAACAAGAATCCACATCCATGCCAAAAAAGGATAAAGAAAACAGAACATTTCAGAACTTTTTTTCTAATGACAGCCAGTATAGTGGCTATGCCTCTGAATTATAGGAAGGAGGAGCAAATATCGTGGGCGAAGTTATTTTCTACGTGATAGTGGTGGTTACAACTTCACTCTAAAGCAAGAAAACAACTCCATCAGGGTACTCAAGTAGATTCTGGTGGTTGGAAAAGTTGGGACTATCCTCGGTCATTACTTGTAACAACAGACCATGACAAGGGGCTAGCAAACAAAAAACAATGTCCTGACATTACTAGAAGAATGACCCATCTTTAGTAAACGAGAATCAATATATGCCACACCCCCAAAAAATAAAAAATAGAAGGATATTTCAGAACAATTATTCTAATGACAACCTAGTGCCAGATGGCCATTCCAGAGCTGTTCGCTTGGGAAGCAAAAAAATAAAATGAATTAGACCACCCTCTATCCATGTCAGGGGTGACTGCTGTCCATGCAGTGAACATAGTAGATGAATCTATCACAGGAAAAAAACTGGCAGAAAGATGGTGTCCCAGAAAAGGAACTGTCATGCAGCATCTTTATCGCTCTAAGAAGGTAGGTCCGAAAAGGCATAAAAAGCAAACAACCCCTCCCTCACCCTTCTAAAAGGTACAAAAAAGAACCACAGTGAGAGAATGATGAACTTAATAGCTCAAAAACAAATATTTTAATTTTTAATTTGTAAACATTGGTATGAGATGAGCTAAAATAGAACCACATTAAAAAGAGCAAATTTGATAGAACAGGGGAAAAAAGCACATTTGATCCATAGGTAGATAAAAAGACAAATTTAATTCAATAGGTGGAAGGAGAACATTTTTTATCCAATTGGTGGAGGGAGGGAAATTTTGAGTCATTTCTAAAACGTTATGGGCATTTTTTACCCTTCAATAAAAAAGAATTGACATGGAGATTACAGCAAAAAAGCAACAAATCAGTGTTTTCAAAGGCGAAAAGAGTTAAAAAGTGCTCTAGGCCTATCTGGAGTTCTAGAAAAAAGGCACAACGAAGAAAAAAAAAGAAAATACACCCGGACGGAGGGTATTTTTGAGTCATTTCTAATATGTAAATGGCATTTTTGACCCTTTTCTGAAAAAGAATTGACATGGAGATCATACCAAATAAGCAACTAGATAGAG